TTCAAATCTCGTATATTGATAGAAAATTTGTTTAGAGACCAACTCGTATACCATTTGACTAACAACATAGTTAGTTGATTTTAATTTTTTATTGATGCGAATTGAACATATTTTTATGAATGTGAATTGAACATATTTCACTTATGGGTTGGGTTGGTCTAATCCTCAAGGGGTTAACTTCTTTCTTAAATAAATGCCATCAAACAAAATGTCCAAGATAGCTTGCAAGTTGACTTAAGAATGTTATGGCGTTGACTAATATGATTCAACGTCATGAACAGGTATGAGTATTAGATTCATGGCTAATATACTAGGAGTACGGATTAAGTTTTAGAGTGGAAGTTAAAGAAAATTGATTTTTGAATTAAAAATTGTGTCTATTTATATACTCAAGTCTTCTTATATTGATGGAAAAAGACACTTATACCAACTAAAATTACAAATTACAAGTTCTAAATCTTTTTTATTTTTATTTTTATGCAATTAAAATTAAGATTAACCAATCAGTAATAACTAATACATAAATAAATAAACTTACAACAACAATGAACCATGAAATATTTTTTGCAGGAAATCCTAGTGGAAGAAAAACAACCACGAGATCATAGTACATTCAAATCCTTCTATTATCAAATTATAGGATATAAAATTTGTTATTAACTCAAATAGATGATATACATCAAAATATAAAATTCATTATTTCAAAAATCTATTCCAACAACAACAATAAAGATAAATATTAGATCTCATCAAATAGTTTTTTTAGGACGTACTACAAAATAGAAACTTCTTAATGATCAATAAAACATTTCAAAAATTTATCTTTATTGGATTTAAAATCATCTCCCAAACAAGACAATAAAAAATGAAAAACATACCTTCTTTTTCTTTCTCTCTCGACAAAAATCTCCCTTCTTTCTCCCTCTCTTTTAATGGTAAAAATTATCCCAAAATTATTATGATTTTGCAATTTCGATTCTTTATTATCAATTTGGATTAATTGAACCCCAAATTATTATTTTTTTAGCAAATATAATCCTTTACCCATTATCTTTAATGGTCAAAAAGTTGAACGTTAACCTTTTCTTTTATTTTTAGAAATTAGTTAACTTAGTAAAAATATAGTCTATATAAAATTGCATAGTAGCTGTTTATTAGATTTCAAAATTAATAACACTTATCAATTTTTTATTGAAAGTACGAGATAATCAAATAAAAATAAATAAAAGTACAAACCTTTAATTAGAAATCAAATAAAATGTTTGTGCTCATGTTATAGACAAGTCGGGATTCCGATGTTTTAATTTAATGGTTATTTTAGCATGAATTTAACATAAATATTTGATTAGAAAAAAATTTACAAATTTATATCAACGACAATCTAGAAATACTTGATTCAAATATTTTATTTTATTTTTAATATAGTCAATTTAATAGTTATGTCACCATAAATTTAATAGAAATACTTGATTAGAAAAAAATAAAAAATTAAATTAACGATAATCTAGTTAATACTAGATTTAAATATTTTATTTTATTTTTAATTTAGTCAATTTAACGATTATGTCGGTATGAATTTAATAGAAATATTTGATTAGAAACAAATTTCAAATTTACATTAACGACAATTTTCGTTAACGTGAGCATGAATATCTTATTTTATTTCCAAAGAAAGTTTCTACTCTTATTACTTTTATTTAAATATATGTATTTTTATTTTTTCTATTTGATTTTTTGTATTTTTAATTTTTTTTACAAGTGTTATTAATTTTGAAATCCAACAAACAATCACTATGCAATCTTATGTAGATTATATTTTGATTAAGATAGCTAAATTAAAAGAAAAAATAAAAAATGTTAAAGGTCAAAGAGTTGATCATTGAGAGTCAATTATTTTACCGTTAAAAATAATAAGTAAATAGATATGACAATTTGCCTCGTCCGGATAGAGCCTCACCTCGTATTTTTTTTATTTAAATGTAAGTATATAAATCAAAAGGTAACGAGTTGGAGAACCATTAAGAGTAGCATATACAAGATGTACAAAAAAATGGGAACGAGCTCCCAAAGAACAAAGCAAAAGAGCTAGAACTAAAGGGTGTTCAAGGAATCGACATATGAGATTCCAGGAAAACCAAATTGTGATCGTGAACTAGCTAAGCTGAAATCATGTACAAAGGCTCAACAACATACAAAAACTTTCGCCGATAAGACCGAATAGACAAAACGAAACGAGGCGGAACCCGGCTAAGTGAGGCAACAACCAAGCCCGGGCGCGAGGCGGCGAAGCGAGAGCTTTCAACCAATATTCGGGACACTATGATCCTTTTCGTGAAAATGAAAGATCATGAAGAAAAGAATTTGAAACTTCCGAATATTCGATCGATTGGGAGAGAGTGTCATCGAAGACTCTCTTGTTCCTCTCTTCCCAAATAAGGTAAACCGTAATGCTCGGTGAGACTCGACGCATTCGAGCTTCCAAATTATTCCGTCGGAGGGAAAGGCCTCGAATGGCGCTTGGCGGTGTGGACATGCTTCGGCGGATTCTCGGCCAGTTGTCTAACCAAAGCCCACGAGCTCGCTGTCTAGGTGCACTCAAAGAATAGGTGGCTATGAGATTTAAGAGTTGTCCGACATAGGGCACGATTGACATCATTTGGAATAAAGCGAAGGCGATTTGCAATTTTGAGCTTCCCTTTAATCGCCAACCGGATAACAAAAGCATGCCTCGGAACAAAAGCCTCGCCCTGTATTAATTTTGAAAAGTGATGGGGCGGGGATGGTACTTGTCCGTCCCGCTTTGTTTGCCTCGCTTCATCTTTAAAATTATAATTATACCCTCTATAAAATCTATGATTATGGACTCTCGGGGTTTATTTTTTATATGGACTATTATTTTTTTGCTATAGTTTAAAATTTGATAATAAAATGAAACGCGACATGATGAAAATAAAAAATTAAACGGGACATCAATACTCCATAGAGATCTTTGCTCTTGTTTGGGGTGAGGATAGTATGAAAAATATTATTACGTGCAGGGCATGGGGCGAGAATGAAGCAAAATTTTCAAAAAACGAGACGGAGACGGGATGCCCCATTGCCATTCCTATAGGTAAGGATCGTATTTTTCAAAAAATAATAGTTTAGAGTTAATTAACTCAAATTAATAGCAAAGATCTGAAATTGCTAAATGGTTATAAACGGTTGTCTAGAATCCAACCCAACACGCTCATGCAGATGCAAATGCAAAAAGTTTTTTCATGGATGCTTTGCATTTAACCCAAATGGAAAGATTGCTCCATCTAAGTATACTTATCTAAAGATAAAAAAATAAATGTCTATAGTCTTCCCTCTCAATTCAAAACCTATAAAATATCAGCAAAGACCAGTTGGCTTGGTCCAAGCCATCTCTTTCACAATCATGGCAGTTTCTTCCTCTTTTCCTCAACCACTTTCAGTGTCTTTGACCTGTTCCCTTCACATCCTCACTACCTGTCCATTCTTTATTCATTTCCAAGTAGAAAACTCAACTCCCAAACTAAAAGTTCTTTCGTTTTAAAACCACATAATTAAGTTGACTTTGATTGTTCATATAATATTTCAGCCACCACTTGTCTTCAGAACTAACTCAATTCCTAACACTTTATATGTTTTATCTTTTTGTTCTCTTTAAAACCATCGAGGAGGTTGTTTTGTAGTTGGACTTTAGGTGGGCTCCTGTAGAAGTGCTTGGTGATTCTATTTGTGAGTGAAAACTGATTTTGGTTCTTGTTTAGCAGACTAGGATTGAAATTAGAGTTTTTTAGCTGAAATTCATTGGTGGGATTTCTTTTTTTTTTTTTTTTTCATTTTTTAGTTTGGCTGTCTTAGGATATAACGAAATGGAAATCTTGTGTTTGTTCAGTTTTGATGTCTTTTCTTTGGTTTTCTTGTTTTTGTTGTCATTTTCTATGCTCTCCTTCTATTTAAATTCTTGCCTTGATCAAGCTCCTATCTTAGGGTATATAATTACTATGCCTAGGCTGTTGCCATTTTCCTAACCCTAAAATGTATTCAATATCTTTCCTTCCTTCTTAAAGGATCGGGGACCCCATTATCCAAAGAAGGAAACTCACTTTTTGGTTATTTATTTCTTTGCTTGCAGATTATACTTCTTCTGTGAACGAGGAGGGGAGGTTTTTATACTCTAAGATAGGCCCTGAAATCCATGTTCAATTCATGAATTCTTTTATTGGAATTGGATACTTTTCCAGCTAAAGTGTGACTCTGGAGGTGTGATTTTGTGCTGCTTATCATCAATCATCGAAATTTTGAAGGTAAGCTTCTTTGTCATAGTGATGATTGTGGTATTGACTCTGCTCTTAAATTTTGTTCATCATTGTAATCAAAATTTTTCTTTTCTTTCTCTTTTATGTTAAAATCTTTCATTTTAGTAATTGAAGCACAGGTTTTGTGCTTTTAAAGGGAAAAAACCTGGGGATGCTAGTTTTCAAAAAAGAATTCTGGAGATAATGGAGTGTTGTTGCATATCAAGTTTCAGGAAAAATGGTCTAAGGAATTATATATACAGCATAAAAGAATTTGCTTCTTTACCTCCACATCATTGACTAGTTAAATTTCATGCTTTTATTACATTTATTATTTGTTTAGTATTTGAGACTCTGAGAGGATGGATTGGATGGATTAGTTGCTAAAATACTTACCATTATCCCATATGATTGGCCTTAAAATCAAAAGATTAGGAGTTACTAATCTTGATTAGTTAAGCTGGTGAACCTTTTGAGTTCCATTGGTGTACATGGGTTCTGGCAATGGCCTTTTCCACAACCGTTCATCCTTGTCTCTGACTTCATATTCTTCTTTCTCACTGATCAGCAGAGTTAAATGGCACCTTTTGGAAGATTTAATTGTGAAATTTCCTTGATCATATCTAATATTGGAACTTTGGTTGATTGTTTCTACTTGATATATTTGTGGTTTTTATGTTTGTGCCATTAGTTATGGATTATCTGCTGGATTCAAGACGAAAGAGCTATTCTGCTGGAAAAGTTATTGCAGCTGCATTCTTCATTGGAGTATGCATCATCATGCTCAAGCAGATGCACTCACCTATTTATACCATCCCAAACCTGGTATATTACTGTCTTGATTAGAAACCTTTGTACATACAATCTATGCTTGTTGTTCATGTGCATTTTATCATCTGTAGCTGATCTCAGATTCTGTCATTTGTGAGGTTATTTCTTCAGAAATTTGAAACTGAGGAAACTATATCGGTGTTTGTTACCACCTCTTATCAAGAAAAAGAAAAAGGGCACCTGTATTGATGAATCCTTTATCAGAGTCTTAAGAACTCAAATATTTCTTGCCGCGTATGACATTGTTTTTCCTTATAAAATCCAGTTTTCTGAACACGAGCTCGGTGTAACACATGTCTTAGTGACGGGCGGTGCTGGTTATATAGGTTCTCATGCTGCACTTCGACTCTTGAGGGATTCATACCGAGTAACTATAGTGGTATGTCTTATTCTGGAAACTTGAAATCTTCTGTCAAACCATATGAATTCTAATACTGAAGTTAACTACGTGATTGTGCTGCATGGATTTATAACCTCTGTGCCTCCTCTGACAGGACAATCTTTCTCGAGGGAATCTTGGTGCTGTTAAAGTTCTCCACGATCTATTTCCAGAGCCTGGGCGATTGCAATTCATATATGCGGACCTGGGAGATGCAAAAGCTGTAAATAAAATCTTTTCTGAAAATGCATTTGATGCTGTGATGCATTTTGCTGCTGTTGCATATGTTGGTGAAAGTACAATGGAGCCTCTAAGGTACAGTTATTTCAAACATTTATCTTGTCAGATCCGTTGTTTTTCATCCGGTTACCATCTTAAAATTGTTTTCCACAGGAGTACAGTTCTTCTTTTTAATCTTTGCGAATGTCTGTCTCTGGTAACCGTTGCCTCTAGAATTTATATTTACCATGCTGTGCAGATATTATCACAATATCACATCAAATACCTTGGTAGTTTTGGAAGCAATGGCTGCACATAATGTGAAGACATTGATCTATTCTAGCACTTGCGCAACGTATGGAGAACCTCTTAAGATGCCGATCACAGAAGAAACTCCTCAGGTAAATGTTTTAAATATCAAATAGCTCCTTGAGGTTAAACCAATAGTGACTCTAGCATGTCTGCTCAAGTTAAAAGAGTATTTTTGGAATTCTTGTGCTGAAAGATTATTTTGACTCAAGGTCAAAATGTCTCCATAACCCATTTTTCTTCACACTTCACTCATTTACACTGGTGTATAATTTCAGCTTCCGATCAACCCCTATGGAAAAGCCAAGAAAATGGCAGAAGATATCATAATTGACTTCTCCAACACCACTGACATGGCTGTTATGATCCTAAGGTGAGTGATGCTCTGATTTCAATTTTTGTTAGTATCAAGCTTCCCTCTACTTATTCTTCGATGTTCTTTCTAGGACTTCGACAGTATTTATCAGACACCGAAGTTGAATTTCCGAACGTAATTAGGAACTACTTATCCTGCTGTCTGTTAATTAGTGTAGTAATTTTGCATGAATTTTCTTTACCTAGTTTTTTAGAAATGTTTCTTCCATTGTTGTCCAGCAGCCAGCATTTTGATCAAAATAATGTCTTATGTTTACAGATACTTCAATGTTATTGGGTCTGACCCAGAAGGAAGATTAGGGGAAGCTCCACGACCTGAACTTCGCGAGCATGGCCGGATCTCTGGTGCTTGTTTTGACGCAGCTCGAGGGATAATACCTGGACTCAAGGTAACACAGCGCTGTGGCTACGTCCCTATGATATTAATCAATTACTTTGATCATAAGTGCATCAAGGAAGTGAAGTTCTTCTGCTTATATCAATGGCTTTAGGTTAAGGGAACAGACTATAAAACAGCCGATGGCACGTGTGTACGGGACTATATCGATGTCACTGACCTGGTTGATGCCCATGTGAAAGCTCTTGCCCACGCAAAACCTCGGAAAGTTGGCATTTACAATGTTGGAACTGGAAAAGGTTTTTTCTAAATATATATACATATATATAATTTTTTTTTTTTTGAAATTCCGTTTACATTTTTTTCCATTTCAAGTGTTTCAATTGTTCTTGCATTTCCTACCCTGAAGATTGCTTGATTCCTTTCGATCACAGGTAGATCAGTGAAGGAGTTTGTTGAAGCATGTAAGAAGGCAACAGGCGTGGACATAAAGGTTGAATACCTCAATCGCCGGCCAGGAGACTATGCTGAGGTCTTCAGTGACCCTTCCAAAATAAAACAAGAGCTAAACTGGACAGCTCAATATACTGACCTTCAAAAGAGTTTACAGATTGCTTGGAAATGGCAGAAGTCACATTTGAATGGTTATAGTCACAGTTAATTCTACTAGAAACCTTTGCTAGATTCGTATGATTAAGTTCAATTATGTATTTCCTTTCTGCAGGAAGATAACACAGAATTTTGATGAGAAGCTGTAGGAAACTTCAATAATTTAAAGAAAGAAGAGTCTGATACACTTGACAAATATCCATAGACAGAGATGTATAGGATCTTGTAGTTTCTCATTATATCAGTGTAATATAGGTGAAAGTACATGTTACTGTACTAAAATTTAAAGAATTTGGTGCTTGCTGCGATGCAAATTAGGTTGCATATACATTGTCATCAATGTTATCCCTGTAAGTTTCAAAAAGTTTTCATGTTATTCTGAGTGTTAATAGCTAATGGAAAGTAACAATAAATTTACTGCTTCTCACCATTGTCTCAATTCCCTTTCAAATACAAGAAGTAATATCTCACAGAACCCTTAAAAACCTGAAACAAACTCTTGATTTATTAGGCATCGCTACGCCAGTAGATTAGATGTTATTCCTTCTGCAAACTCTTATGATCGGCTTAGAGAAAAACTTAGATTGATGTTTGGTCTATTGGAGCTTCTATTCTCTTTATGGATCGTCGTACAGTGACATACGATAGAATAATAGTTTCATAACACAACAGAATCCTCAAATTGGTTTCTTATCTTACCTTCCTCTTCCAACCTATTTTGTCTTCTTTAAAATTTCACTTCAGTCCTAAGCATTCATACTAGAATACAAAACAGCCTCTACATTAATAATTTGGACAAATTAGTCCAATAAACTAAGATTCTTCTATATATTATTTTGTTTTTATATTGTATCACTTACATGAATATCAGGACACCAATGTCAAAAACATGGATAGAATCATACTTCACCAAGTGATTAGAAAAATAATACTAAACTTGATTATAAGTGGTTTTTGTGACTGATTCTACTAACTTGATTTTACTAGAAATGTTGAAAAGTTCTAATTGGCCGACAAAATTTAATTTTTTCTCTCTAGTATCTTTTTTCTTTTCTTTCCCTTTTAAAATAAATCTAGGGAAACTTTGGCAAAGACTTAAGCTTTACGATTCACGAAAGGGGAGGACACCAAAAAATCTGTGAATCATTTGATTGCTTTAAGGAGCTCATAAGGTCAAATCCAAGGATAAGGACTTAAAAGCTGAGATTATGAAATTGAACGGCTACTTTATATCTGAGAATTCCTACAAAGATTCTATCACCAAATGCCAAGAAGAGCTAAATCAGCTGAGTCATGCGGAGAAAAAGGCAAAGAATGACAAAGCCGACGTTGAAAATGCGTTTAAGCATTAATTTCCAAATAAATTTAGCTTGAATATGTCTGACTGAGTGTTTCCGGGTGGCAAAATATCCTAGAAGAAATTTATAGAGATTTAAACAGCTCTCAACCCAAATGACAATTCTTGACAGCACTTGTTTGTGTCAATGCTGATGATGCTGCTCTTTCTCTTAAGTATCCTAAATTTGCTTAAGATCCACAACACACAATTATAGAAGCATTTAAAATTCTGTCAGGTCATCGAAATATTAATCAGCCAAGAGGTTCAAGGATGCCCGAGTAATCAAAGCATGATTTTTAGCAAGTACTTGTTTCCAATAAACTTGCTTGCAATTTGAAGTACAAGATTTTAAGCCTATTGAAACGCCGGTGCACTTGAAGATAAATATGAGTCAGTCAGCTTACAGAGTAGGATTATATATATATATATATATATATATGAGCATGGCTCCAGAATCGAAGGAAAAATCCTCACTCCACCTATGACCTAACCCCGTTCCTAACCTGTTATATGCCTCAAACTTGTACTGAAAACCGTTCAGCCTCTGTTAGAATATTCTGTTCTCCCTATTGAGAGTTGTTTCCTTTAGATCTGATCAGCATTGCATATCATTAATCATGATTAGGGCGAAGCTTCGTTTTTGAATTTACATAGTTATTACACAATCATGCACACGACACAACCATCTTAGGAAAATCAAAGATATATGATAACATTAAGCAGCACAAAGAGTACATGACATACAATTATGTACACTTACCAAGAATTTCCCATTAAACTATATATTTCCTAATGTACAATATGCTAATAGAAATCAGAAGATCAAAATTCTGTGACCTCTAATAACCCTAGTAAATGGCAAAGATGAATCATAATTGTCAAGCAGAGATTTCAGAAATGTGAAATGTGTTTCTTATCTGAGCAGTTAACCTTGTCAGAGTAGTGCCAATCTCTGGGGCTCTGGACTGAGTTGAATCATCTGACAGAAAGCGGTGCATTTGATTTTTCACCTCAACCCAGCTGCATCCCGGTTCTTTTCCTGTGCTCCTTGCATTCATCAACATCCTTACTTCCTGCACCTCATCCCATCTGCTTGCTTCAGCATGCATGTTTGACAATAGCACATAATTTGATGTTTTGTGAGGTTCAAATTCCAAAAGCTTCTGAGCAGCTAACCTTCCAAGTTCCAAATTCCTGTGTGTCCTGCAAGCCCCAAGTAATGCACCCCAGACTCCTGCATTGGCTTTTACCTTCATTCCCCTCACCATTTCAAAGGCTTCATCTAACCTCCCCACCCGCCCAAGCAAGTCAACCATGCAAGCATAGTGCTCAGCCAATGGTTCTATAGCATACACTTCACTCATGCTTTTAAACAATTTTAAGCCGTGATCAACCAAGCCAGCATGACTACATGCAGACAAAATACCAATGAAGGTGACTTCATCAGGAACCATCCCTTCTGAAGCCATATCCTCAAAGAGTTTAAGTGCCTCTTTTGCATATCCATTTAGTCCATATCCACCAATCAAAGAATTCCAAGAAACAGCATCAGTATGACAGATTCTTTTGAACACAAACTCAGCTTCCAAGATTCTTCCACATTTAGCATACATGGTGATCAATGCATTGCTGACAACTAAATCATTCAAATAACCACTCTTCACAACAACCTGGTGAAGTTGCTTCCCAAGTTGCAGGGCTGCAATAGTGGCACATGAACGTAGTCCACATGCAAAAGTTGATTGATCAGGTTTCTTTCCTTCATGCCCCATCAACACGAAACTTTTTAGAGCATCCAAATGCTGTCCATTTAGCACGAAACCGGTAATTAAAGAATTCCAAGATACTAAATTCTTCTCCCCCATCTCTTCAAAGATCTTCACTGCTGTATCCATTTGACCTACTTGAGCATAACAAGAAATCATGGTATTCCATGCAACCATATCTTTATTGACCATATGTTTGAACAGACAGACAGCTTCATTGATTCTTCCATGGTGTGCATAGCCTGCAATCATAGTGTTCCAACAAACCACGTCATGGGTGCCTATCTCATCAAAGAATTTTCTAGCTTCATCAACTTTATTACATTGTATGTAACCAGAAATCATTGCTGTTTGGGCCCCAACATTCCTGTAAGGCATTTTATTCAATAACTCCCTTGCTTCATCAAGCTTACCAACACGAACGTACCCATTAATCATAGTAGTCCATGACACAGAATCCATCTCTGGCATCTCCTCAAATAGCCTCCTAGCCTCATCAATTTTATTGTTTTGAATATATGCAGAAACCATTGCATTCCAAGAAACAATATTTCTACTCGGCATTTGGTCAAAGAGTCTCCTGGACTCCAAAATCTTTCCATTTCGTCCAAACCCACTTAACATTGTAACCCAAGAAACAACATTTGGCTTCGGAATCTCCTGAAAAAACTTCCAAGCAGAATCCAAATCACTCACTTGGATAAACCCATCAACAATCAAATTCCACGAAACCACATCGCGTTCATCCATTCTTACAAAAAACTCCAAACCCAATCGCATTTCTCCATTCTGAGTATAGCCAGATAGCATTGAATTCCACGAAACTAAATTCTTAACAGGCATTTCATCAAATAACCTCTTTGCTTCATTAACCCTTCCTTTCTTCACATAGCCCGATATCATCGCATTCCAACACGCTACATCTTTTCTATAACTAAACGGAAGCGAATCAAACAACTCTCTCGCCTTCTCAACCTCCTCATTACGCGTATAACAAGTAATCATCAAAGTCCAAGAGAACAAGTCCCTCCGAGGCATTTTAACAAACAGCTTATAAGCTTCATCGACCTTGCCATTATGCACGTACCCAGCAACCATTGTGTTCCAAGAAATCAAATTTCTGCGAGACATTTTATCGAACAGGTTGCGTGCATCATTGACTCTGCCATTTTTAGCATAGGCAGAGATCATTGAATTGTATGTGACAGTGTTTTTCTGGGTCATTTGAGTGAAAACTTTGATTGCATCTTCGATTTTACCCGATTTTCCTAACTGTGTAATTCTTATATTTTTGTTGAAGACATACTGGCTTCCTTGTTCGCCAGCTGACATGAGCCTTTGCTTCATGATTTGAAACCTTAATCAGTCTGCGACAATTTTTATTTTTTAACGTCTCCATTTTGAGGTTTCCATGCAAACCAAAAATAGTCTTGGGCATTATGGCGCCAACAGTATTTATATTTATTAACAGAAACAAATGGGCCAGGTGGATTATAAATTAGTTATTATTGTGTTGAAAAATCAATTAATTAGTCTCTGTATTTTAAAAACTAATTACTTAATTTTTTATATTTTAATTTCGTTAATAACTTAAGTCATTTTATCATCCATTATTAATTTTATTTTTTAAATTTCTTTTCATTTGATGTCTTTTTTTTTTTTTATCAGCTCATTTTTTCTCTCTTCTCAATCAAAAATAATATAAAAAAAGATAATTTAAAAATAAAAATCAGTAATATAACAAAAAACTGATAAAAATATTAACTTATTGACTGAATTAAAATATAAATCATTAAATAATTAATTTTTGAAAGGAAGTAGACTAAGAAATTCCTTTCTTTAAACTAGAGGAACTAATATATAATTTACTTACTAAAAGAGGAGTAAATCATAAATTAGTTCTTCCAGCTTTGATAAATAAATTAATAAGTTCTTATATTTTAAGAACTAGTTATTTAATTTAATTTAATTTGTTATAAAATAATGAATGTCCATCTACTTTTCATATCCCCACTACTCATAATCCTTAATATAATTCAATTCACCATTCAATATGAGAAATTGAAAGGATGATGCAATTGATGTACTTTTAATTATTCATAGTCCCTTCCAATTCTCATCTCAATTTTGAGGCCTATAAATAGGCTTGATTGTTCATTTGTTGATGTACAAGTTTCCTAAAGAGAATAAGAGAAACTTTGAAGTTCTTATCACTCATATTCACATTAGAGTGATTTCATTTTCTCGTCATCATTTTCTTCAATTCTCCTATCATTTCTATTTATTTTATAACACGTTATCGCACGAAGCTCTAACGAATCGAGACAATAGACCATGAGGTATGTATATATCAAAAGATTTAATCAATTGTTTCAACAATTAGATTTTTTTTACACAAGTGCTCTACCAAAAGATCTAAATTATTTAGATCATTAAGAGGTATATATCTAATTTATTTATATACTTTAAATCTATTGATACATGAAATATATATTTGAAAAACTTAAATGATCTACTAATGATCTAATATATGCTATTTAAAAAGGTTTAATTTTATTATTATGTTTGTTCTTATTTTCTATTATTATTATTATTATATATTACATTATATAATTTTTATCATATCAAACCTCATAAACTTGATTTTGTGGCTCTTGATATTTTCCATAAGAATTATTGATTATGAGTGCTTGATTATGAAAAAATATTCTCTACTTTTTATGTCTTGGATATGTTCTCGCAGTAGCAATATCGAGAAGATGAATTTAAGAAATATTTTGAATCGATTCATAGTTGCTCATGGCTAAATAAAATGACAAGCTATTGATGAAAATGAATAGATCTCATCCAATCGGATTTACTCCATTCCCCGAAGTGAATGTGACAACTTATAATAATTTTGAGCATGGACAAAGATGTGGTCATAGCCATCGACGTAATTGAAATAATTATCATTATAATCGTAATGACCATAGTATTACATCTCACCACCGAAGTGGATAACTATGAAAAAAATAAAAATAAAAATAGATAAAGTCAGTATTTTGAAAAATAAATATTATAGATGTGGAATGGATGAATATTGATCATGTACCCGATGTACACCAAAGCACCTCGTTAGGCATTGTCAAGCCTTATTGAAAAATAAAGAGTAAAATATGAAGACCACTTTTATATATCAAAATAATAGTAATTGAAATTAATTACTTGTTAGTTTTTCTATTTATAAATAAAACATTTTATATTTTTTATAATTTATATCGTATAGTATAGTGATGGTTATAAATTTATTTTACTATTTATTTATTTATTTGTTTGTGTTTATGAGGAATATATTTGATTATTTTATTTTATGTTAATATTATATATGATAATATCAATCTAATAGAAAGCTCTAGAAGAACGATTATATCATGACTTGAAGAGACAAATTTTTAAAGCTCTAGAAGAGTGAATAAATTATTATTTGAAGAGAAAATGTTTAAAGGCTCTAGAAGAGTTGATATATTATTGCTTGAAGTAACATAATTTAAAGGCTCCGGAAGAGCAAATATGTTATTATATGAAATGATAAATTTATTATGAATGATGTACTATTCTCTTCAAAGTCTCATAGAAATTTTTTGAGTTTCAAATATATTTATTTAAATGGACATTATATTAAGACGACAAATGTCAAAAATTGAATTCTTAAATATTATAATTATATCGGATAGAAAGCATGTATTGGAGAAATTATTCGCTTTCTCATCTATTCTTTATTACCAACATTGGAATGCTTGAAAACAAAATATATTATAGTAAATCAAAAGTTTACTAATTCAAATACTTTTATTATGTGACATGACCGGTTGTGCTATCTTGGGTCTTTCATAATGCGAAAAATTATTAAAAATTCATATGGATATCTATTGAAGAGCCGAAGATTCTTCAATTTAATGAACTTTCATGATCTCGCATGTTGCCAAGACAAATTGATGATTAAGCCATCATCAAGTAAAATTGAGATTGAATCTCCAATATTTTAGAATGTATTCAAGGTGATATATGTGGATCAATTCATCCACCATGTGGACCATTTAAATATTTTACAATTTTGATAAATACGTCCACAAGATGGTCACATATATGCCTATTATCTATTCGAAACTTGACGTTTTCGAGATTGCTAGCAAATAATTTGATTTCGAGCATAATTTTCAAATTATGCCATTAAAACAAGTTACCTTGATAATGCCGATGAATTTATTTCTCAAACATTAAATTATTATTGATTGGCTATTGAACATCCCGTTGCTCGTGTTCATACTAAAAAATGTTTAGCAAAATCATTTATCAAAAGGCTCCAATTGATAGCTAAACCATTATTTAAAAATAAAACTCCCTGTTTATGTTTGGGGATATGCAATCTTACATGCAAGCAACACTTATTCGCATATGACCCATAAGTTATCGAAATTCTCTCCTCTTCAATTGATTCATGGTCATGAGCCAATTATTTCTTATTTAAGAATTTTTGGCATCGCAGATGTATATCCTTAGTGCTCCTCCATAATGAAATAAAATGGGCACTTAAAAAGATTGAGAATATATGAATCCTCTTTGATAATTCAATCTCTTGATTCATGAATAAGAGAAAATTTTTACGAGCTCGATTTATCGACTCGTCATTTTGATGAAATAGTTTTTTTCAACATTAGTGGGAGAGAATAAGCAAAATAAGCGAGTTGAAAATGTTGAAAAAAAAGATTACATGGAGTACTCTATCTTATATCACCTTGATTTTTGTATAAGATAATGTGAACTAGAAGTTCAAAAGATAATTCATTTACAAAATATTGAAACCAACTCGCCGGATGCATTCTCGAATTTAAATGAGTAACTAAAATGCATGTCCCTCGCTTAGAATGCTCCTATTATAATTAATGTCCTAGAAGGATAATCTATTAATATTATAGCTAGCGAATTTAAAGCACGCCCGAAGCATAAAAGACCGATCGGTTCTAAAGATAAAAATCCCTAAAAGAAAAAGGCAAGATGAAAATATTCACAAAATGGTCCAATATATTTCGATAATAGGCTTTCGGAAGAAGTCCAAATACTTGAGAAAAATTGAGAGATTTTGATAAATTATATCAATGCGGGGAGAAAATAGGACCGAAAAGAAACATCTATTGATAAGATTTTTGTATATAATATTGCAATTGATATTATGGATGAAAATAAGGATCCCGAGCCTAAATTATTGAAGAATATCGACATAAAGATGATTGGCTTAAATGAAAAGAGCAATCTGGCGTAATTATGTTCTCTTATAAAAGAGTATTTTAAACCCATAGCTAAAACACTTGAAGATGTTAAGCTAGTGGGATACAAATATGTATTTATGAGAAAATGAAATAAGAAAGATGAGATTATAAGATATAAAGCAAAACTTTTAACACAAAAGTTTTTGTACAGAATTGACATTGACTATGAGGAGACATATTCTCCTATAGTGGATGCAATTGTCTTTTGTTATCTCATTAGCTTGAAAAAATATATGAAAAACATTCAAATGCATGCATTTAATGAATGTGATCACAGTTTATTTATTCATTTGAAATGATATCAGTATAAAAGTCCTAGAAAGACTTAACATGCCGAAGCATATAATACATATTCTCGAGAAAAGAATTCAATTAAATGATGGAGATCTCTATTAGGATTATTTTAGTATTTGTTTTATTATTTGGTTTTTAAAAATTTAATTTATACTTTTTATATTTCATTTTTATATCTACTCGTTTATTACTAACCCATGTGCATGTGATATAATCACTTCAATGATTTTTTATTGAAAGAAGTTATAAAAAATAACCTTATTTGTTCATATGTTTTTATTTGAAAAAGGGTTTGTTTTATATGTTGATAACTTAAATATTATTGGAACTCCCGAAGAGATTCCAAGTGTCATAAGTTACCTAAAAAGAGAATTTGATGTGAATATCTTAAGAAAATAAAATGTTATCTCGACCTGCAGTTCAAGCACTCGGAAAATGAGATTTTCATTCATCGATCAATTTATATCGAAAAAGGTTCTACAATGATTCTATATAAATATCATTCATTGACTAGCCTAATGGTAGTTCATTCACTTAATATCCAAAAAGACCCTTTTTAACCTTGAGAAGATAACGAAGAACTAATTGATCTTGAAGTACCATATTTTAGTGTCACTAGGTGCATTGATGTATCTTGCTAATAATACTCGACTTGATATAGTCTTTTCTATAAATTTATTAGCAATATATAGTTCTGCTCTAACACAGAGACATTGGAATGGAATTAAACATATATTATGTTATCTCCGAGGAACAAGTGATATGGGCTTATATTACTCCGACAAATCAAAGAATGGATTAATTGGTTATGCGGATGCGGGTTATTTATCCGATCTACACAAAGCTCGATCTCAAACTCGGTTATGTATTTACATATGGAGATACGGCTATATCATGACGTTCTATGAAGCAAACTATAGCCGTCACATCTTCAAACCATGCAGAAATACTAGCAATTCATGAGGCAAGTCGAGAATGTATTTGGTTAAGATTAATGACCCATCATATTTAAAAGACATGCGATTTATCCACTAACAAGGAAGTTTCAACGAGTCTTGTATGAAGACAATACCGCTCGCATAGCTCAATCAAAGGAAGGATACATCAAAGGTGACGAACGAAACATATATCACCAAAATTATTTTTCACTCATGATCTTCAACGAAATGGTGATATTAATGTTCAACAAATTCGATCAAGTGACAATCTAGCAGATTTGTTCACTAAGGCATTACCTACCACAACTTTTGAGAAGATGATTCACAAGATTGGAATGCGTCGTCTTATAGATCTTAAATAATGTCTTCAACAGGGGAGACCAAAATGGGTATTAATGTGTGCAAGGAATAATGTATTCTTTTTCCTTCACTAGGATTTTTTTCCTACTTGGGTTTTTTCCTAGTAAGGTTTTAACGAGGCATATTCCTTGTACAATGGACATTCAGGGGAGTGTTATAAAATAATGAATGTCTATATGAATGTCCATATGAATGTCCATCTACTTTTCATATCCCCACTACTCATAATCCTTAATGTGATTCAATTCACCATTCAATATGAGAAATTGAAAGGGTGATGCAATTGATGTACTTTTAATTATTCATAGTCCTTTCAATTCTCATCTCAATTTTGAGGCCTATAAATAGGCTTGATTGTTCATTTGTTGATGTACAAGTTTCCTAAAGAGAATAAGAGAAATTTTGAAGTTCTTATCACTCATATTCACATTATAATGATTTCATTTTCTAGTCATCATTTTCTTCAATTCTCCTATCATTTTTATTTATTTTATAACATAATTTAATTTTTTTGCCCCATTTTATCTTATTTTTTAATTTTTTTAATAAATAAATATTATAAAAAGATTGACGAGCTAAGAAACATTTTTTTAAAATAAAATAATATTAAATTAAGTATATAATCAACACTAATCAAGGAATTAAATAATTAATTTTTAAAATAAATAAAATTAATTAATCTATTTCTCAAAACTAGAAGAGCTAATTTATAATTTACTCGCTGGAAAATGGCAAATTAATTAGTCTCCGTCTTTTTAAATTATAGCAACATATTAGTTTGTGTTTATGTTCAAAACAAGATTATTTTATAGGCATGAGTATGCTTCTTGCATGGTTCACCAAACAGGGGAAAGCGAGAGGTGTGAGGTCTGAGGATGGTCTTTGGACAAACCATGCAAGAAACAAAGGAAACTATATTTCATAATGAAAATGATACATGCTCTTCCTCACTAGAAATATCCCTACCTATCAAAATGTTTCGCAAATACGTAACAATGATCAAAAATCCCAGAGGCAAACCTTTCATCCTGGAATATGCCTCTTGATCTGTGTGGGTATAATCACGAGTTCTACAAGTAACGAAATGGGGAACTTCTTTTAATATCTAATGATTGGCCAACCAGGACAAACATTAATCTCAGGGATGAATAGGCTCCCATTAGTTCTTCTGCCGATTAAAATAGCAGTATCAGTATCGCAGCATCTCCCCCCATATTTTCCTACCTTTAAGTGCCTGCCTGTTTTAACTCAGAAACCACATCATCAACACTGGTCCTACGGGTCATTTCAGTTTAATCATAACTCATCATGAGCTTCGGGTTCTGGGTTGACTTTTTCATCAGCTGATCCATCTGAGTTGATTTTTTCATCAGCAGGACTGTCTGAATCTGTTGTTCGTTTCTCCTTTTCAGGAGTCTCTCCAGAAGTTGAGTCGGCGGTGTTTGTGTTATCTCCGCTGGACTCGGATTCATCCTTCTTCAGCTTCTCAATTTTAGGCTTTGGCTTGGGAATTCGGTTAACACTAGCAACCTAGATACATATACAACACCAATCAAACATCAGTTGCAATGGTACAGGCAAGGAAAACTGGTGCCGGTAACAAATTTTTATTTCTTAATAATGGAGTTGCAGAGACTTGCAGTAATACCTTGTCTTGCAGATTAAACACCTTCAAATATACTTCTTCAGATGTCAATACGGGTGTGCTGAATCCTGAAGCCCTGTTGAGACACAAAGGGGAAAGAAGACTTTGTAAATTACTTGGATTTGCACAAGCCGATCAGGCAAGAAAACATTAAAGCTCTCCATCTTGCACGCAGAAGTATTATTTCTACAATTTTATTAAAGGAAGGAAGAACGAGAACATGTCTAGAATGTTATATCATGCCACATGACATGCAAGCATCTTGGGAACAGCTTTTCTTTCAAATTCAATACATCAAAAGAAACTGGCTGCCTTAGAGAGAGATAAGCACAAGATTCAACTAGCTAAAGAATGCGTGCGTCAGTGCTTCATATAACTTGAACTAAGATTTTGCAAGCAGTAACATACAGCTCATGTCTTAATCTAAACAATCTACAAGCATAAACAGTCAATTATTTCAAGAACAGAAAGACATGCTAAAAACCAGAGCTGCAGCAGTGGCAGTGGCAACAACAGCAATCACAAAACCCAACACTTACTTCTTCTGTTCAACCTCCTTTTCATCCAGCCAACTCTTCGACTTGTCAGCATCACTTACCACCTGCAAAACCACACAATCACAAATGATGTAAGCATCACTGGACATTGTTCCCATCTCTCATTATGTGGCCAAGTTAGATTAAGTGTGAAAATGCACCTCATCTACTCTGTCCTTTGGAAGCCAAGGTTTCTTTGTCTCCCAGCCCTTTACAATCTGCGGCAATAAAAACATAAAGGGTAATTTGAAAAATAATAATTAAAATTGCTGAAAAGTTGTAGTCTATCAAAGCTCTAGTTTTGTCAGTTTTTCCTGTTTCAGTATTTAACTTTTATCCGAGCAATTAGTACAAAATATCACGACGTTGCTTCAACCATCCCAAGTTTTTGCAGTATTAAATTCAAGAAACAAATATCGATAGATACATAGATATATGGCGAGCAAGACTTTCCAAAGTGCCAGAATATGGGACACACAAATGAAAAAAGGAGGAAAAATAGTCAAATACCACACAGGACAGAGGCATATTTCCACCAAAAACATATTAACTGATTGTATGTATATCCATCCATTTTTCCTGCCTAGTTTTTCTGTCAGCATCATGGTTATGATGGCAATAGTGAATGACCATATCCAAGCCCCAGAAAAGATAAACATATCTTATGAAGGGTGTGTTTGAACTGAAGTATCTGAAGTACCTGTTGCAGCTCGCCGAGGTACTTTCGAGCTAACTCTATTGCTTTTGGTCTTGCTGACAGTTCTTTAGACCTAAATCAAAACATTCGTAAGTTGGAATTAACTAATTCAAAGCCAAGACTTGCGTAAATAACAGCAGTTAGCTTCTCAGCAGATGTCACAACTACAACCAGGAATTGTCATACCTGAAAAATATTGGGTCACCGATAGCTTTTAGTGAATCTAGGCGTTCCTCAAACTCTTTTGCAGTGGCATCTTCACCATCTGTATATAGCCATTCTTGGACCTAAAACAGTACAACATACTCACACATCACCAATTTAAGTAGAAAAATTAAAATGACTGACCTTTTTAAGTTCCAAAAAGCACTTGGAAAAACCAGGAAACAGACTCACCTCATCAAGTTTTTCAATGAAGGATTTCCGTTCATCAGCAGTAGAAACTTTCTCAAGCTCCTCGGATGTCTCAAGCTGGCACAATGGATAAAGATATCGACAATAAATTAAAGTAAATTTAATACTGACTATTCATATTCAATAACATAATTATCTATAGAAGGAAACTCTAAATTTATAATAGAATCAAATCAATAGTAGTGGTTTCAGACCCATCTTATAAACCATATCACACATGCCTAGAGATGAATATCAATATGGAAGAAACACCAAGATCACATTTAAGATCCCAAAAAGCTGTTCATCACAAGAAATGGAAATGTCTTAATCTATCTTTTTAGAAAAAAAGTTGAATTGATCGAAGATTTCAAACCTTTTCTTTAGTAGAATATATATATCCTTCCAAGTAATTTTTCAACTCAGCAGTTCTTCTTCGATCAGAAATGTCTTAATCTATCTTTTTAGAAAAAAAGTTGAATTGGTCGAAGATTTCGAACCTTTTCTTTAGTAGAATATATATACCCTTCCAAGTTATTTTTCAACTCAGCAGTTCTTCTTCGATCTGCATCCTTTTTGTTCAATTCTTCTAATTTTCTTTTAGCTTCAGCTAGATATTCTTTGGAGAGAAGCGTTCCAGGTCCCACTGTCTTCTCAACAATCTACAAATATAAAAAATAGAAATCAGCAACAAGAAAGTTGTCAGACACAACACTACAAGAATAATTTCTAGCGTGCAAAAGTAGAGAAACTTCTAATAATGCTAGCCTGTTTGCACCTTCAGGGGAACCCTAAAGGTCCGCTTTTTCAGCTTCTTCTCTGTAACAGGCTCACTAGTGCTTGCTTCTTCAACAATATTGTTGGATGAGTTGTCAGTCACACCATCAGAACTCAAATTTCCATCACTTTCTTCTGTAGTGTTCTTACTGTCAGTTTCAAGTGTTATATTTTGAGATGTAGTTGTTGTATTGTCCACAGTCAGGTTCTTTTTAGGAACTTCCACCCATTCTGATATTTCAATAACAGCATCTGCTCGATCCAATGAAAGAATTCCGCTTCTACTAAGAGAAAAATGCAGATTTGCTTTGATGGGGGAGGACAAATTCCGAGATGAATACCTAGACAACACAAGGGAGACACAGAAGAGAAATGTGATATGTTAGAAGTTTCTGCATGAAAAATTATTCAAAAACTTTGAAGCATTGAAGCATTATATACATCCACATATGATTCAGAGGATAGCAATCCTTACTTCTCACTAGCATCTGTCAAACCAGATACAGCATACTGAGCAAATACAGGAGTGGTAACACCAGGTGGTAAAAGATCAGACTCGTATGCCAGTGAAACTTCAAAATCTTTCTTATGGATGATGGATCTGAACATCTGTTAAGAATCAATTCAGACATGATAAGTAAAACAGGAAAGCAAAATTTGATGCATTTGGAGCATGAAAATGGTTTTTCAGATTAATCATCTCCACCACAACAGTCATGTTACAATGCTATTTACCTTACTAGGGAGCTTTTTCATCCTTGGCACGAGTAACTGTCTGGTGCTCTCATCTTTTAGCAGATCAGGCCCTTCTAATTCAACCACCAATCCATATGTTGAACCATCAACCATTCCTAGCTTGCGATTCAATTTGATTCCATCACTCAAATTTGCAGCATGTAGAGATGAACCGAGAACTATAGCTTCATCAGCATCTAGATGTTTGTCCAGTTCATTCTTTCCAAGAAATTCCTGAAGCTTAGCCTGTTATGTGCCAAAAGAGTTTTCTGTGATTTGCATCCTTAATGAAAATCAGATATAAGAATAAAAGAAGCTCTAATATTGAAGGGACATGCAAATTGATAGGCAGGTAAGTGCATGGCATAGGGAGAAAATGCTGAACAGAAACTTAAGAGCTACTTCAATTCTTCACATCTAAAAGGCCTAAGAACAAAACTACCCTTGTCCTCTTCTTTCTCTTCTTTTATGGATCTAACAGCACATGGCCTCTATTTACACATCATCATCACCATAACCATTCTTCTACAATTCAAGTTTTTTATTTTAAGAACAATGAAGGATGATTTTTACCCCTGCATATTAGATCTCCAAGATCTGTGCAAATCAAAACAGAAAAAAGGTTGGAAGTTGGACCAACGAAAATGATATATCTGCCACTGACACAAGGGGCTTGATTAATAGCTGAAACTTCATTTTGGGGAGAGAACTGTCGAAATGACTAGAAATAGACTAAGACGGCCAAAACTGATCAATGATAGAGGCAAGACACAATGATAGTATTAGTTACTGCACTTAACCAACCAATGGACTAGAATAAGCTAACCCTTTCTTTAAACTCTTACACAATAAGTTTATTCTAACTATGGTTATGCAGCTTAATCAGTGTTCTTGGATTATTCATAATTGAAGAAGATAGTACCAACCTGCAACTTAGGCACTCTGGTAGCACCTCCTATAAGCTCCACTGCATATATCTCATCCACCTTTAGACCGGAATGCTTCAGAACTTCCTTGACAGGTACAAGAGATCTGTCCCACAAGTCTCCACAGAGCTCTTCAAACTTCTCACGTGTTATGGTGCTCCTGGAAGAAAGTTAAAAACAAAGGTTTGAGTGATTTTGGGTAAGGGAAATCCACATAGCTGCCAACAAAATAAAAGCATCACGCACAGCAAAGTACCTAACCACTAGTATGCATGTATATTTTAATATCACTACAGCCAATTAAAAAAAAAAATCATCACCCATAAAAGGAGCAAGTTCATAGTATAAAAATCATAGGGGGCTAATAAGAAGTTCGGAAAAATAAATTCTCATATGCACACGGACATTTGCTCAGGGAACAAAGAGGAAGTGTAGCATCGCAGTAGAGAAAAAGGCACATGTAGGTAAAAACTTTCCATGAACAAAAAGTACTTAAGAAATACTTCAAAATCCACGGACCTGAAGTCCATATCATCATAGAGGGATTCGACTGATATAGGAGCTGCAGTGTTTGCACTCAAGATCTCTTTTGTACGTTTGACCTGTTTCTTCAATTTAGCCATTGCCTTGGGAGACTTCCTCACATCAACCCCATTCCCAACTTGTTTATTGAACTCATCTGCAAAGAACTCCACCAACCTTGATTCCATACTCTGACCTCCAAGTTCTGGGTCCCATCTAACATCCTTAACCTGGACATTTCTCAAGTATTTAACAAAATTTCTAGCAGTACTGAACTAGGCGTAAATAAGAAGCACGATAAACTCTATAGAAGAATGGTGGAAGTGAAACACATTCAGGCTATTATAAGATAGTAGTGACTGCGCATTCACAACCTTAAAGTAACAAAATGACCACAATGCAGCTTTTCCGTAAGATATTTCTTTTCAGGATGCACTTTCCACTCCCCACTGTTTTAATATCCAAAATCCTATTTGTAAGCCTTCTTTTCCTTAATTTTCTCCCTATTATCTCACCATATATTGAACTAATCCATTATCTAGAGAGAGAAATCTATGACAAAATATCGAACTAATATGCTGTACATCCTAAACATCCCAAACACAAACTACACATGAAAGAACCACTGCCACCATATGACAAAAATAACATTCTCAACGGTCACCAAACCCCAGTTACTGAAAATAAAATTACCTGAAATTGATTGACGGACACAGTCTTCCCAAACTCCTTGGCGTTATAAGCCGAGAAATGCACAAGCGCAGCATAAGTACTACTTGCACCCATATCATAAAACACAACATTCCGCGAACCATTAGAAAAATCCTTATCAATCCCATACTGCAAAGCAGCACCAGAATGCTCATTAATCAAAGCAAGCACATTAATCCCAGCCAACTGGGCCGCCTGAAGCAACCCTCTCCTTTCAACCTGCCCAAAATACGCCGGCACACTAACAACTGCATCCTTAACCAAAACCTTCGAATGAAACTCCGCCAGATCCCCTGCGAACCCCAAAATCATACCCAACAACTCCTCAACCGAATACAAACCTGCATTCCCACTCTCATCCTCAATCCTAAAAGCAACCGCCCCTCTTGAATCCTCTACAACATCGTATGGCAAATACATTGCATCCAAAAACTCTTTAACTTGCTTATAAGACTTTCCTAACATATCACGCAAATGCGAATACACTTTATCTGGATACCTCGCAGTAATCCCCAAAGCTTCTTCGCCCAAAAGGCGAGTTCCGGATTGGAATGCGACTAAAGCCGGGGTTTTCCTCTTCGACATTTCGTTAATCGCTATCGAAATTGGAGTTTGGCCTGGTTTCAGGTTTACTACAGCTACTTTGAGCCATTCCGAACCTAGATCTATACTCGAAACAGCTGATTCGGAAGGAATAGAATTTAACGCGAGTACGGTTAAAAATAATAACCCTAATTTTAATAACCTCATCTTGATCACGTGTTTATGATAATCAGACGATTAATCAAGCAAGGAGAGAAGCAATCCGTCTGCAACAAAAATAAGAAAAAAGAATTAGTACTTTGTTTGGCTGCAGAGAAAATAAAGTTAAAGACAATTTTTTTTATTTCCCTGGAAACAAACAGAAATTTTGGTTAAAAAAAAACGTAATTCTTGAACGAAGAAAGAGCTGCAGCTGGAGTGAAAGAGAGATACCAATAGATGAATTGCATTCCTAGAAAGAGAGAGAGCTATAGAGCTGATTTGTTTTGAATTTTTTTTATTTTTTTGGGTTTGATTTTCTGTTTGGTTGGCGAGAAAAAGAAGAGAGAAAGTGGAGGGATTTATATAGGGAAACGGGGGAGGGTGTCGACGTGGAAATTATTTGAAACGACGGCCAATAGAAAATCGCCAGATGGCAGAAAGTACACGTGGAGAGATCTTAGACGTCAGCTGGTGTTGTGCTTACGGTTGTTGTAGATGCTCGTGGAAGGTTTTAAAAGTCAAGTCATGTAAAAGAAGACTTTTAATTTATTTTTTATTGGGCAAACCTCAAATTAGCCCTACAACTATATACTCTCGCAATATCCATCCTCAAACTATCAACTTTCTTAATTAGACACCTAAAGTATTAGATACTTTTCAATTGGGTCGTCTTCTCCATTTCTGTCATTACCTTCCGTCCAAACTGCATATCTTATGCCCAACAAAAAAAAGAAAAAAAAAAAGAGGGTCGTGCTCACCTCCGTTATAAAACCTTTCATTTTCCTCTATTTTTTTTCCCAACATGTTATTAATTTTTCATTTAATGACAAATAAGATTAATATCATAAAACATCCTTCTACTTTTTACATTTTTTAATGTAGTCTCTCCATTATTTTTTATCTCTCCATTATTTTTTATTCATCATGTTTATCTATTCTTGAATTTTTCTTATGGGACCATTTTTTTATTTATTGGATGTTAGTTTCCATTACAAAATTGATCAAAACAAAGTAAAAAAAGAAGAAGAAATATTATGAATTTTTTTTAAAAATGATAAATAAAAAAGAAAAATAGAAAGACTTAAAGAATAGAGATATATTTTATGCGATTAATCCATGACAAATATGATGCCATGTAACTAAAACATAAAAGAGAAGCTGACTTTCAAAACCAACAATTTCTTTCTTGCTCAACTCTTTTTTTTTTTTTTTCCTTTAATTTTATTTTCATGGAGATCTTTCTCAATTCTCAACTCTTTTCTCCTCTAAAGACTCTCGAGTCTTGAGAGGAATATATTTATTTCTTTGTATTTTTCAGCTATGTATGTTTGGGTGAGATTGTATATAGTTAGTATATAAATATAATTGAGGAGTATAAATATTGTAACAACTTTGTAACTAATTGTAATCGTTCATTAATCTAGTAAACCAAAATTTCAAAATTTCTTTTCTCTTAACATGGTATTAGAATTGCATATTCTTTTTCTTTAACTAGAAATTACTTTTGTAATCTAAATCATCTAAATCCTTATTTCTTCTTTAAGATTTAGTAAATTTTCTTTAGAAATTTGTTCTTCAAATCAAATTCATGGAGAATCAAATTGACATTTTTAGCTTTTCACAAACTACTACTTCAATTCAAGATATTAACGATTCATTATGTCTTTATCCTTCCAATACATTGAATTTAGTTCTTGTTACATATTTACTCGGAGGTGAAGAAGATTATAGTTCATGGAGTAAGGCGATGATGATTTCATTGGAAGCAAAGTGCAATAATGTTTTTGTTAGTGGAAAATGTTGTAAACTAGTTACTCGATTTGCCATATTATAAACAACAAAAGAAATGTAATACTCTAGTTCATGATTGGTTGTTAAATTTAGTCTCTTCACAGTTATTTAGTGGTTTAGTTTACTAACAATATATTTTGTGAAATCTATCATCTTGCAACATAGATAAGGATACCTTTTCTATATAGTACATCAATTACTTAGTCAAAATATTCGAACTTGTTCATGCCGATATATGGAGTCCATATAAGCATCCAACTTACAATTAAGAAAAATATTTTCTATCCATCGTAGATGAGTTTTTTAGAAGATCTAGGATATTTCTTATAAAAACCAAGTCGTAAGCACTTTAATTACTATAGAATTTTTGTGTTCTTGTTCATACATAATTTTTCGATCAAATTAGAAGAGTTAGTTTAGATAAGGGTTCGAGTTTCTTCAAACTACTTGTCAAAATTTTTTCTCTTTCAAGGGTATTTTTCATGAAACTAATATTCCTTGCGCTCCACAACAAAATAGTATTGTGAAAAAAAAATATAGACATATCTTAGATATTGCTAGAGCCATTATATTTAATCCAATATACTTATCAAATTCTAGGGAGATTGTATCTTAACATTTACATACATCATCAATAGAACTCCCACACTTCTTTTACTTGACAAAACTTCTTTTGAAATCTTATTTCACAAACCTCTAGCCTTTGCTTGTCTAAAAGTTTATGGATGCTTATGTTATGCCAAAGTCTTATCTTTTCTTGATAAATTTTCTCCTAGATCTACAACTTATATTTTTCTAGGATATCTTTACTCGTAAAAAGGATACAAAGTCGTGAACTTAAAACATCAATAAATTTTTTGTTTCTTGAGATGTATTGTTTCATGAATCATTATTTCCTTACCATTTTTCCTTTCTTCTCTAAGACAAAATTCCTATTAATAGTTATTATAATATATATTTTTTTTCAATGGATATATGATGATGACATATTACAACATACCGTGTCTTCTACTCCATATTCATTGTTTTCTCCATCACGATTCTACACTAGATCATCGTCTATCTTCACACCTTCTCCTATCTCTTCTCCTAGTCATAGCATCTCACAAAATAGTTTTGCTATGGTTCCTCTTAGAAGATCATTTAGAGTATCTAAACAACCTATTTGGTCTAAAGATTTCTTTTGTCCTACTTTACCTAAGTCTAATTGTACTCAATCATCTCCTATTGTTAGATATTCACCGTCAAACTTCATCTTTTATGATTCATTTTCTCCATCACATATAGTTTTTCTAGCCTTTATTTCTCCTATTGGGGAACCTGCTTCTTACTTAGAGAGGCCATTAAGAATCCTAAGTGGCTAGATGCTATAACCAAGGAACGTTTAAGCTCTCGAATTGAATAGAACATAAGACTTAGTTCTTTTACCATTTAGGAAGAAACCTATAGGATGTAACTGAGTTTATAAAGTAAAATTTAATTCTAAAAGAAGTGTGGAGAGGTACAAGGCCGGGTTAGTGGCTAAAATATATACTCAACAAGAAAGAATTGACTATGGTGAAACCTTTTCTTTAATGGTTAAAATGGTTACCGTTAGAACTATTATTGTTTTAGCTACTGCCCAAGGTCGGTTTAATTATATATCAAATGGATGTTACTAATGCAATATTTTTAGGCTTATGGTACCATAAAATCATGAATTATACACCTTTTAATCTTTATGGTACGTTCTTTTAAAAGTGTATGGAAAATACATGAACTATGCTACTAATAATAATTTTAGCATAGGGTCATTTTTTATCCAAGATTCGAGTTCATCTAACATGTAATGACACGTTAGATGACACATTAGATGAAAATCCATATAGAATGGTATGTGGATTAGAATTATAATTCAGTCATGATGGATGACATGTCGCCCACCCACTTATTCAAAAAAAAATTCCTAAAAATAACTAAACTAATTCAATTTAACTTTTTAAAAATCAAACCCTTAATTTCTTCTCTTCTCTTTCTCGCTCGATCAACGAACAAGCCAACCTAAATTCATAATCTTCTTCTCTTCTTGGCACGATGAACAAGAACTACAATCTTCTTCTCTTCTTTATTCACGACGAACAAGAACCTCAATCTTTTTTCTCTTCTTCTACTTTAACTAGTCCTTTTTCTTCTTATAAAATTCCCAATCAAAACCCATACCATACCTACATATACATACGCCTCAAAAAACCTAAGAATCTTCAATAAGTATTAATTACCCTACGAATCTTCAACTATAAGGTTCCTTCTTTTCCTATCTCTACTCGTTTTCTTTTCATTTTTTATAGGGTTTCTCATTTATGTTTGTTTTGATGATTTTGGGTTTTAGTGCCTCCTTCGCCTATGTAAACTCTTTAACTGTATTATGATAGATCAATCGTATTGTGATGGATCAAAACCTATGCCTGCATTACCCACACCTAAATTAGCATAATTATTTTTTATTATATTAAGTTTGTATTTATAGAGTTCATTATAATTTATCTGTTCTTTTGGTGTTTTCGCCTACGGGATGGCTAAGACATTTAAGTTGATTTTTTTTTTTTTATGTTGAGGGCGTATTCAATAATTTGAATCCAATTACTTATGTTGGTGAGGTTAGGGTTAGATCATATAAGTGGTTAGAAGATCCTGATTACATGACATTAAAAGACCTCCACTACGTGGTTATTGAATGTAGATATAAGACACCTAAGGTTATGGTATTTAAACAATCTGAGTTGAGTCTAAGCTAGGAAGGGTTAATTATAGATGAGGGAGAGGTTTTTATGAAGATGTTAAGTGTTATATATGAACATGGTCTCGGTGATATGTATGTTGAGGTAGAAGAGAAAATGAAAGATGATGGTAATTTAGGTGAAAATATAGCTATTACAATTAATGTGGTAGACATTAGAGATGTAGGTGATGATGATAATGAATAGAATGTTGTTGATGATGATCATAAATAGAATGTTATTGAATAAAATGTTGATAATGATAACAATGAAAAGAATGTAGAAAATGTAAGT